GTGCCCGCACCACCATTCGCCCACTCCCTTCGCAGTTCGCACATCGCGCGGCTTCTGGGCTCAGCGTTCATCTTAGCCCGTGCGCGCTGGCGCCGGCACTACCAGCACACGATTGCTTTGTACCTGAACCATCGAGTCGGAGTAGGAGGTCTTGTAGCGCAGTGTGATTTCTTCGGTTGTTTTGCATGCTCGTATTGTACTTACGCCGCTGCGCCTTGTATTCACATTTGCTTGTATGCTTTTGTATTAACTACGTTGCTTCCGTTGTGTCCTCCATGTACATACATATGTCCTAGATCCGTATTCTATATCTTGCCCATACTCTTGTTGCGTGATTGGATTTCTTGCCGTAGGATTTCTAAACGATGTAGACCACTCCAGATGATATCGTGCTTCCCTCTGGGCGGCTCAGACCGTCGTGGGATCGTGATGGTGCCCTGTGGTTGGACGGGTCCGCCTGCGATCACTCGTCCCGTCAGCGAATCTGAATTTGGGATAATCTACATCGTCTGGAAAGTCCACGGCAAGAAATCCATTATTGAGGAAGAAAATTGAAGTGCGAGGTGTATAAGCAGTATTCTAGATAGCCTAACCAAGCGTTGCAATGCCCGCAATGCCCTGCTACGCCTTGCAACGCTCGCAATGCCTTATCACGCTCGCAATGCCTTGCCAGGCCTCGCTACGCCTGATCTCCCCTTGTGGAACGTTATCAGGCCCAATCTCTTATCAGGCCTGGCAAGACCTGACTACGTGTCGTCACGACTGACAAGGAAATTCTGGGTTTTCCGGCACATGAGATCTATCTCTGCGCGTGACTCTGTTTATCGTCTTCCCCATCCTGAGCACGACTACTCAAACGGGACGTTATCCACAAGGCGCTTCGTCTGTAGGTCCAAAGGGTCCTACGCGTACGCGCGCTTCCAGCCCGTCTGCGGGATGGCACATTGTTGTTTCTTCGAATGTCCGCCGGCGTGAGGCAGCGGCACGATGTGTCCTTCCTGCGCTTCCGTTCCCTAGCCACTTCGCCGTCTTTGCCTAGAGACAAAGTAGACTAGCTCGGATACACAACCCGGCTTTCAACACCGCATAGATGGTTTTGCTAGCCGAAGACGGTGCGAACCCGCGAGCGGGGGCGCGAGACAAGCCACGGCTAACTCCGTGATGAAACGCGTGGTCGGATCCCACCCAGTTTTACGCCCGTTGTTTGTGGCGACTTGTCTGTAACGCCCATTCGATCACGATCGGCAACTCTCCCGCTGCTCCTGCATCTCCAGTGTCGAGATTAGTACAGGATGCCCATATCAAGTCGCGAGCGTTGAGTCTGGGCGATGCATCGCAGTAGCTGCGTTGTGCTTCGGACCGTAGAACTGGGTTATTCGTGGCAGCTACTCGATCAGAGATCTTTAAGCGCCTATCTTCGTATTGACCCTCCAGGCGCTCAGGTCACCTGAGGCAATTCTGAAGCACTGCTTACGAACTGCAAATCGCTATACACAGCGGATGGCCAGGATATCCCCATGCCTTCAACGTGCCTTCGCAGCCTAGAAGATCAACTCCTATCAGTACGGTATCTGGACGACTAGAACGCCTCGCGACAAAGCTATCCTGCCGTCCGAAGCGCTTTCAACACTCGTGATGGACAACTTGCGTCCGGTGGTCTACCCCGCAGTTGCCCCAGAACCCACAGCGCCAGGTATCCGAGGCGATACCGCTCTCTTTGCGCCCTCTTTCACCTGTGTAAGCGTCTCTCACTCTTTATCCGGCCGTACTGTGAGTATTGCTAAGCGCTCGGACAGGTTGACAGGACCCTTATTGAACCTTTACGTCCTATCCCGACAAATGGGGTTCACGATGCATTTGAAGTTCTCGCTCTCATGATCTTGAAGACGATGGAGCACCGCGTGGCCTCCAAATCGGATGCGTGGGTATCCGATCGCACCTTCGCATCTCCTGGGATGTCAGATCGAGTGGCGAGACGACTGTACTCGTTGACAAAGGACTACCACGTTGTACCCTGGCGTGTCCCTTCACTGGTGCGGACCCCAGAAAGCCTGTGGGGCGAGAGACAACTGATGCTTCTGTAAGGAGTGCCTAGCGCGCCCATCTCGAAGTCGTACGTCCATGTTCGTTTCGACTCGAGGACCCTTTGGCTACTAAAGTTGCCATTTGCAAACGGCAGTCGGCCATCCTTGCAAAAGGCGATCTTGCTATTCTGGTCAGACCTTTCTGATGCCTGTCCGAGAGACGTCCGGCTCCCAAAGCTTGCTTCGCGAAGTTCTTGCAACCCGAGGTGAGCTCCAATTCCATTGCGTCATGATGCGCCTTTGTCCGCTCAACCACTTCTTCTGTTGTAGGGTATGGAGCGCGGCGGCGAGGCCTTCGCCTATAAGTATAGCAATGCAAGCAATTATACTTGTGCATCACCTTTTGACCTCTGAACATCATCTTACGTTCAACCATGACCAACGAAATCTTCGACGCTTTCAGTGTTCCCTCGATATCTAGCACGCCGGTCGATGACCATGACGACCACGACCTCGTTCACGACGAGCAGTTCTACTTCCGTATCGTGGTCTTCCGTGTACGTTTGTCCGCTATCCCACATTAAGATAAGGTTGACTGACCCGGTCAACAGGCGGGGAAGTCGCTTTTCAAGGTGCCGACATACAGCTTCCCGGCAGACGAAGGTCTCTTTGCATCGATGTTCCTTCTTCCCAGGGGGAATGGGGAACCTGAGGGATCGAGCGACGATAACCCCATCCGCCTTCCTTCAGAGGTATCAGCCACTGACTTCAAAAGTCTGTTGAAGGCTTGTCTCCCGCAGTACGTAAAGGCTCGACGTTGCCGAGCGCTATATCGTTGACCTTCACGCGTCAGACCGGTGGCCCGCACTCCGCCGAAGCTTACAGTCGATGAGTGGATGTCGGTGCTCAAGCTCTCGACGATGTGGTGTCTCGACGACCTGCGCGCTAAATCCGTGAGCGAGGCCGATGCCGGCGTGGCGGAGCTCGGCCCCATTGAGAAGCTTGTGCTCGCAAAGCGCTACAACGTCTCGCGTTGGTTCATCGAGGCCATGGAAGCCCTCGGGAAGCGTGACGCCTTCATCTTTGCGGAGGAGCGTGACAAGATCGGCATGACCATGAGTTTCGCGCTGCTTGAGTTGCGCGAGCGTAGCTGGTCTTGGGGCGACTCGCAAAACATCGACTCGAACCATCAGCCGGGACAGCGACTGAACTTCGACTTCCAGTCCGCCATACATGAGATTTTCAGGGAGGATCTGGTTCTTGACAAGGACTATACTGTGCCTTCACCTCCGCCTGCCGAAGAGCCCGGAAATGACTCAGAATCTTGAGACTCGAGCTTGCCGTTCGATCTGTCCTATTGTACTATATTGGTGTCGATCGAATCTTCAGGCTTGTATGATGCCTGACGATTCTTCTCTATGTATCCGGTACCTGTACTGCTTGAAAGACTGATTGGTAGATGAGTACCATTTGGCTCGCGCTTCAAGTAGACCACAAAGAGTGTATCGGTCTAGCCACAAAGAGCATTCCGGGCCTCAACTATAAAGTTCCCTGGCAAAGCAATCATTTCCGCGTCCCATCACCTTCCTACGACCCAGATGGAGTCTACATCTGCTGCATTCCACAAAGACGGGGCCTTCTACATCGAGTCCGTTGTGTTCCAGGTGAGCACTAGCACGGGTAAATCATACTTTCTTAGTACTAAGCAACACTACTAGGCTGGTACCACGCTCTTCAAAGTCCCAGTCTACTATCTCCCAAAAGGCGAAGGTGTATTCCAAGATTTGCTCGCTCTTCCCAACCACAACAAAGAGGGCAATGGCGACAGTAACCCCATCACCCTTCCTGCCCAGATCACTGCGGAGGACTTTCACAGTTTCTTGAACTTTATCATGCCTGCGTGCGTACATTCTTTCGTAGGGGCTCGAAAGGTATAGCTTATATCCGTACAACAACTAGTCCCATTCATGTCCCGCCGCGGAAAGTGACAATTCCCGAATGGTCGTCCGTCTTCCAGCTATCCTCGATGTGGTGCTTGGAGGTCGTCCGTGTCAAGGCGTTGGCCGACGCGGATAAGCAAGTGATTGCCGTTGAAGATCCCGTTACACTTGTCTTGATGGGCAAAGATCACCACGTCGCGCGCTGGCTTGTCGAGGGTTACAAGAGGCTCTGTGTGAACCCTCAGTTTCTGAAGCGGGAGGAACAGATCAAGATCGGCTTCGAGACGGTTTCCCGGCTGGCTGAGATCCGCGAGCGTAGCTGGAAGTGGGCCTCAACCGCAGAGACGCAACATATCCATCGATACAACGCTAGGAATGGCGTTTACACGGCTGGAACAGTTCAGGTCAGCACAAGGGACAGGCTGATGTACGACTTCACGCGGGCCATTCACCAGCTCTTTGAGGATGAGCTGTTGCTGGATAAGACATACGTGTCACCTTTCCGGAACTAACGTACTATATCACTGTCGTCATCGTGCCTTGTAGTAATCAGTACACGTTCAAGGCCTGCTCGTCAATATGTCAATGCATCTTGTGGCTTGTTTTATGCTCGTTTCATCACCGATATTGGGGAGTGACCGAGTCCCTATGACGTCTTGTCGCATCTTTCGCCTCGTAACGTAAGAGGCCAAGCCGAGCAGGTAAAGCAACTATTTTGTACTGTGCAATCATCGTGGTCGTAGGGAACGAGCCGTCCCCCTGAAGGTGCGACGTGGGATCACCATCGGCAATTCGGGCCGTCCGCTCACGCTTCGGCCGCGCCCTCGTTCGCGCACACCGTAGCCTTGACTTTGCACGTCACCATCACTCTCGAAACGATACGCTCATCATACGTCTTATAAGGCTGAAGACTCGTGTTCTGCGGAGAAGCCTACTAGTACCTGTGGAATCACAATTGGAAATATACCAGATTTCCATAAGAATACCCTGTCGTCGGCGCCACCATACGTCGCCACCTCAACTCTTCCATGGCTCAAACCCAGACTCCAGATGTTGAGGACTCCGAGTTCTTTCATCGCACTGTGATATTCAAGGTCAGTATTGGCGATCTTCCTATACGTGTTTTTGTCCCCATGCGTCATATAGGCTGAATCAACGCTCTTCAGTATCCCGATGGCCTACCTTCCCACAGGTGGTGGCGTCTTTGAATCTATGTTTTCCTTACCCAATGTCCGCGGAGAGGGAAAGAGTAAAGAAGACCCCATCATTCTCACTTGGGATGTCACCGCCAGCGACTTCCGAAGCTTTATGAAGGTCTGTTTGCCCCAGTGAATACCAATCTTCATCGTCGCCATCACTGCCGTCGCTTACAATTGCTAGGCCCCACTCACTCAAAGCGTATAGTATGTCAGTGTCTGACTGGATGTCGGTCCTCAAACTCTCGACCATGTGGTGCCTCGACGAGCTCCGTGCGCGCGCCATTGAAGGCGCGGATACTCAAGTCAAGGCGATGCCCGACGTGGTGGAGAAGATACTCCTGGCCAGGCGATACAGCGTATCGAGGTGGCTTATTGACGGCTATGAGGCCCTAGGGAAGCGAAGCGCCTATCTTTCTCCCGATGAGCAGTCGAAGCTGGGGCTAGAGACAGCAGTCAACTTAGCGGAGCTGCGAGAGAGGAGTTGGTCATGGTATGCTGCAAAGCTCAAAGACGAAGCCGTCGAACTCTTAGGACAGCCAGCACGCCACAGTTCCTATCCGTTTCCAGTGGCCCGATGGGCGTTCTCGAACATATCCAGAGGCGATTTCGACTACGTCGGCTCTATTAGGGTGATTTTCTTATCAGAGCTTTCACTAGACAGAGATTACCTCTCGGAGCAGTACGCACCATTCACGGCGTAGTGGTAGACTTCGTAGTCAGCTGGATATTTCTTACGGTACTGCATATGAACGCATAGCCATGCGAATACTCGACTGTGATAGAGCTTCGAGAAGCTGTTTAGATGGACCCACAAAGATCGGCAATGTTAATACTGGTACACTGATCGACAAACAGAGTACAGGGCGTTCCGAGAGCGTACATAGATTGTCCGGTCCTTAGATTGTCAGACCTCAGCGGAAGTCTCCGTCCTGTTTGTGTCCCTCCCCTTCGCCGCCACCCAGATAAGCAGAGATATAGTCGAAGTTCTCCTCTTCGCCACCATCATGCACCGCCTGTCCATGACCCTGTCCCTGGGGTGGCGGCGGGAACTGGCGTAAGCTCGGCGTCGACCCAGCTGTTGAGAAGCCGCTCTGATGCGGGCTAGAGACGCTGCCATTCGATGGGCTCGAACCATGATCGCGCTTGCGTAGGGCAAGCGGACTCGTGTCCGCCATCCCAGCGATCGGTACTGGTACCGGCGGTGTCATCGCATGCATAGTGGGGCTGGTCGGTGTTGCAGTCGCATCACTTGTGGTTCGCGCAGGCCGACGGAACGCCGCGGCAGAGATCGTTCGGGGACCACCCATGGAGGGGGCGGGACGTCCGAGTCCTAGACTGCTTGTACTTGCGTTAGCAGGCCGCAACGTTGGTGATTCAAGTGGCGTGCGGTACGGAGTGCTGGTCCCATTCGAATCGGTACGAGGGAGGTAGGCGCTTGGTAGAGGTGCAGATGGCGCTGACGTGGCAGGAGGTGATTCGGGGACTGGAATAGGCGAGTATGGCGGCCCTTGTGAGGGAGGTGATTGTGATCGAGGCAGTTGATATGCCGGCGGCAGGGCTGCAGGCATGGCTGTGGCTGGCGGCTCCGTCGTCACAGGGATCGGCGAGTAGCTGCGCCTTGGTTGCGACTCGGTCGGGCTGCGGGGAATAATACTCTCGCGTCGGCGCGAGAAGGGAGAGGAAGGAGCGGCGTACGGGCTTGAACCACTCGAGGCATTGGCATCCGCCGGAGGCTGAGGCGTGGGCAGTCGCGGTGGCTGATACGGCGGATTGAAGGTCAGATGGTCCATTTCGCGCGCAACCTCGCGCGCTGCGGCTGCGTTGAGCGCACTCTCATCCGTGCGGTCATCTGCACTGTGCTCCGTAGGTTGAGGCGACTCCATACGAGGTACTGGAACCCGACCCATTCTCGGTGTACCAGCGTCTGTCAACTTGATAAATAACACAATCAGACAAAGTTGGATAACTCCTTACCTGGAGGGCCCGGCGGGGGCGCATACTGTTGTTCGTATTGCTGCTCGGACTGCTGTTGATGTTGCTCGTACATCGGGCTCTGAGGCTGAGGATCCTGCGAGTTCCGGTTCGGGTTTGCCGCGACGCTCTGATAATCTTCGGGACCATAGCCAGGATCATATCCCCCGTACGCGGACTCCTCAGGCATGGACGGGTGAAGTGGAGGTGCTGCACCAGGCGGTGGGCCTGCCGGCGGTGGATAGTATTGTTCAGACGCGCGCTTGTTCGGATCTGAAGACTTCCCGTCCATAGATTGCCGCCGCTCGGCCAGACCCTGCTCGACTTCAGCAGCGAAGCTATCTTCACGGTGGAAGCTTTCCAAACGAGTAGGTAACGTAGAGAACTGGGTGGCGCCAAAGCCGCGCTGGGGAGCGGGCTGAGCCGGCGGACCAGAGAATGTTTGCGAGTGAACGCCGTCCTGAGATGGACGGAGCATGCCCAGCTCTTCGGGAGGTGGGCCGCCGGGTACACTATCCGGGTGGGCAGCGTACGATGCGTCGGGTGGTGGACGAGCTCGCTGACGAGGACCGCCGAGTGGAGGCTCGCCGTGGAAGACGACCTCCGACATGGCGACTTGAGCGTCGTTGGCATATGCCTCGGTCTGAGAGTGTCCGAGGTAGTAACCGCGCGTCGTGCCAGGTTGTGTCGTCTCAATCGGAAGTTCCGTTATGATCAGCTTGCCGAAGTCTGCGGTGATCTGATACAAGTTCAATATATATTGAATACGAGGAGTGCAAATGACCTACCAGCCCTTTCTCGCAAAGTTCTTGAAGTCCGCCAAACTTGAGAGTCATCCAGTTGCGCGTAGCCTCGCGCTTGAAGTCGCCCAAAGAAGCCTCTTCGGCAAGAATCTCCGCGTCTAAATCTCTTGTCTGATTACGCAGACCGAGTAGCAGGTCTGTCTGCGCTTGCAAGTTCTTGTTCTCCGGGCTCATTTTGTTAAGTTTCTTGTCCGCTGCATCCGCCTTGCTCGCGACCTGCCGGCGCTGATGCTTCAACCGATCGAGATTCTCCTCACGGGCACGAACAGCCTTCATGTGATCACGTATGCCTTGCTCATGGGAAGCGTAGCGGGATACAGAAGAAGCGAAGCGAGTAAGGAGTTTATGACACCCGTTAAGGACATCCTGCGGCATTGTCAGCCAAAAATGGTTACATGCAGACTACGACAGGACGTACACCAAGATCATCCCCCTCTCCTTGTCCCCAGTGCTGCAAGGCATCGGTCGCCTTCGTGAGGTCCGTGCTAAGTTTGACAAGCCTATAGGATAGGGTAAGGCTCCTGTGGCGATATCAAAAGTGAGGCAGGCCGCGCACGATGTTAACACGTTCTTCTCAGCGGTGATGAGATCTTGAAGTGGGCGCAGGTCCTTGTTTCCGCCAATGGCGAAGGTCGAGCTATGCGACACCTTCGTCGCGGCGCTCTTGAAGTAAGCCATGTCACACGACTGGCAGAGTGAGATGGAGGTATGGAGTTAAGGAGCTTGCCCACTCGCAGCCGACATCATGCAACTGTGTCCGCCGCGATGACGCCTCCACACCGCCACATACTTGCTGCGCATTCTTCCGCCAGACATAGCGTCGGCCATAGCAGCTTTTATCGCCACATCCGCAGCATCACGAGTACGTGCACAGGCGTATATACTCATGATTTGACCGCTACAGAGCTCACTATACGACTGACGCTCCGAGTTAACCGAAAGGGATTGCAGAGCCGCGTGCCGCGTGCGCCTTCCTGTGGCCTGACGGGTAACGTGGTAAATCCAGATATCGCACGAGCCCCGGGCCGAACTTCGTCACGAGTAGAATGATACAGCTATGTTGAGATGTGCTATGCTAATGTGGGGTATGATGCTAATGTACAGTTGAGTGTACTGTGTCAATGCGATGAGGAGTGAGAAATCGGAAAGAAAGAGCATCAGGCGTCAGACCACAGCTCCTTAGCAACCTTGACAACAAGCTTCAGCTTGTTCGCCATGTCCTCGTCGGTCACGTCGTTGCCGAGCGAGTGTGACGCGAAGCCGCACTGGGGTGAAATGCAGATCTGGTTCAAGGCCTCCTCGCGCGTCCTTGGCTCGACGCCCGATGAGATGATTGATGCGGCAGACTCGACGCGCTGCTTGAGCTCCTCCGGGTCCTCCATGGTCGGGAATTTGCTCGTGACGAGACCGAGAACGACGGACTTGGTCTTCGGCAAATGGCGTAGAGGTTCAAACGTGCCGGCGCGCTCGGTGTCGTACTCGAGCTACCTTACAGTCAGCCTTTGCTTCGGCACGCCTTTGGGAACGACGTACGTAGTAGGTGTCCGCATTCAGCTCGTTGAATAGCTTTACTGCGATAGCATCATAGCCTCCCTCGCTGAAGTGGCGTCCGCCCTTGAAGTTACCACTATCGACAGAGTTCAGTATCATAAACTGCGGGTCCTTCTCGTGCGATCTTACCGGCAAAGATGGCTGCAATACAGGCAAAAGTCGGCACTTTGTTCACATTATATGAATATCAGATGCACTTACACTCCAGCACACATGTCTGCGGGTTTCTCACGCAGACAGTCGTTGTAGACGTTGACGTATAGCTGCAACAAGCGGTCCGCATCGACACCCTCCTCCTTCATGCCCGCCAGCATTTTCTCGCTGCAGAAGTATGCGAGCAGGGGGTCATCGAACTGAACATTGCGGCAGCCACGGGCGTAGAGATCGGCGAGCTCCTCGCGGTAAGCCTTGGAGATGTCGGCGAAGTACTCCTCTGTGCCAAGTCAGTGGAATATTGTAGGTGATGAGCTGTATGTGCACACCGTCGGTCGCATAAACGTCCTTGGGGTACGCGTAGGGGCCGTGCCGGAGGTGGAACCACTCGGGAGCGCACATCGTCAACTTGATATTCTTGACCTCGTCTGCAGGCACGAGTGCCTTAAGCGTCTCGAACTCGTCGACGTAAAAGGTCTTGGTCCGTTTGATCTTGCCCTGCATGGAGATAAGAGACGCACCACAGTCAGGTTTGCTTAAACGTACATGGCACAAGTAAGAGTCCGCCTTCTTGAAGTTCAGCAACTTGAATCCGGCGGTGTCGGGCACGTAGTCCATGAACTTCTCGAGGGGTACTGCAGCCCGGATCAGCCCAATTCATGCTCTCGTATTGATGGGATGCGCACCGTCCGGAACGTGCTCAAAGCCGTCGAGGTTGTTGAAAACACCATCGAAGAACATGTGCCTGCATCCGCGGTGTCAGATTACACCCTCTACTCGCATCGCGTGATGGGCGCACCTGGTGTACTCGCCATCCGTGATACTCTTGATGCCCAGATCGCGTTGAAGCTTCACAATGCCATCGATAGCCTCGAGCTCAACCGGACGAAGCTGCTCTTTGGTGATCTTTCCCGCATCGAGTTGATCCCGCGCCTCCAGGAGCTTCTGCGGCCGGCGCAGTGAACCGATGTGGTCGGCGCGGAACGCTATGGTTTTTTTTAGCATCGAGCCATCCTCTCAACTAGGGAAACACGCACGGGGAAGGATGTGCAGCGACATGTGGGGGAAGGGAGGTAAGGGAGAATAGGGGAGAAAAAGTTGAAGGCTCGTGGGTTATACTATAATCCGGAAGAATAGTTTAACACGATTTTGACCGCACACACCGGAAGCGGAACTGCGCCGATACCGCGCGGCATGACTATGCTTGAAAATCGTAAGGGCGATCTAAAGCATGAGAGCTGTTCGTCAACATGCTCGTTTGTACCTGGTCACCGGGGAAGGGTGATGTTGTGAAGACGCGCACGAACTGCTGATAAAGGTCCCCGTAGACCCCATCGAATCTGCGTGAACTGAGCGCCCAGTTTGCGCCCTTCGCATCCCTCTTCTATTTGACCATCTGAGGCAGCGTCAAGAAGGGGCTCGGATCGTTCGGTCGCTTTGCGAGGTCGCAATGGCTCAATCCATAACGAGGCTTAGTACGCTGCTTCCGTAGATGACAAACAGTAGCAATCTGGTACGTAGACACAAGAAGCCGACAGGTTTATTAGGAACACGCCTGCACTCGATATGGGTCTCAAAGGAGTCGAGACGGCATCATGGTGGTCGAGGAGTACGTTGCGTATCGCGCTGGCAGTTGCATTCAACGCGTGACGTCACGGACGGCTGTCACTCATGTTGTGGCTAACGCAGCGGGTTCTTGTTCAGAACCTTCACGTCCCTAGACAAACTCCGCCTTTACTACTCTACGAAGATGGGGAGATTAGATAGCGCCCATGCACATAGGCCATGTACAGACTTGAGTCGAATGCAAATCATCTATGCGGGAGCTCGACTGGTCCTTCGTACGGCAGTGGACACTCGAAAAATGCTCGTTATTTATAAGTGTCATAACAAAGCTATCAGTACGATTGCAAGGCCTGCAGCTGAGCCTGAGGGCACTAGATCGCCCCCTTCAAAAAGGGAAGAATCTCCAGTCCGTACCCGTCCAAGTTCGTACTATGGCTAAGATCCGCCCACTTCTTCCCCTCGTCTATCGTCTTCTGGGCCATTCCTTGGGCAATACCCCAAGCATCCGTCCCCAACTGCAAGCGCAGCGGCGGGTTTGGCTCCTCGGAGATAGTGATCATGGCCTGCGCGGCACGATTCACATCGCCTATCGGCTTAACGCTCTCGCGCATCTGGATGAACTGGCGGCTCGGGGAGTCGTCTGGGTACGCCGGGTGAGAAGGGACCGTGATCATGTTGTTGGAGTTCCAGTTGGTTGCGAAGCCTCCGGGTTCGACGATAACACCTTTGATGTTCCACGCGGGAGGCATCTCTTTGGTGAAAGACTGCGTGAAGCCTTCCAGCGCTGTAGACATATCTCAGACACCACGCATAGACACGGCGACGGGGTTGGGGTATACCAAACTTGGCGGCGTTGTAGAAGGAAAGCGTGGGCTGGGCAGCGTATCCGCCAATAGATGAGATATTGAGGATGCGTCCACCGAGACCCTTGGGATTCACTTCGCGGAAGAAGCGAATAGCCTTGTATACTCACATCAGTGGCAGAGATGACACAAACCAAGACACACGCCATACCTGCTGCGTGATGTATACGGGTCCCCAGAAGAGCGTTTCGAAGACGGGACGCGAGATCTCGTCCGGCGTAGCCTCGATATCAGATGTGACGCCGTAGCCGGCGTTATTCACGACGACATCAAGCCGCTTGAAGTGCTTCTCGATGTCGGTGAAGACCTGCGCGATAGCCTCCTTGTCCGTCACGTCCAGCTGAAGGACCAACAACTGCTCCGAGGAGTACTTCTTCGTAAGGTCGTCGAGCACAGCAGGCTTGCGAACCGTCGCAACAGTACGTTCGCCTTTGGCAAGAACGGCTTCCACGAGGGCGCGGCCTAGACCGCTAGATGCGCCGGTAACTAGCAGGAGCGATGTCAGAGTGGCCTCTCTGAACCGAAAGGGCTGCACTGACCAAGCCAAACACGCGCGTCGGTAGACATGTCGATGTTGCCTGTCGAGCGTGAAGTGTAGATAGTAAATCCTTGCACGCTGCCCTACGAACTTTATACCAAGGCCCAGGACAGACGAGTGGATCTCGATGTCAATGCGTTTCTTGTCACAGAGCTCAATGGAGCTCAACATCGTGAACAAGAATCTTGTCACGCATCAATGTGGTCAGTGCTTTTCTGGTCACTAGCTTCCATACAGTACCACATTGTCATTGAATGTCTTGTCAAAGGACCCACAGAGTCCGCTTCTGTGCAGAGAATGTTCAGGGGCAGGGAACACGGCCATATCGCCGTGCTCTGCCGGCGAGACACGCAAGCGCCGGCGATACGTAATGGCAGCGAAGTGTGGGCATGAAGTACTTTACACTGTGGTGTCATGTTGAAGAGGTTGGACGCATAGTTGCTCGTTCAGAACTTGATCGTGGGCTAAGGCAAGGACTGGCCGCAGCGAAGCGCCCGTGCGCCCACGCCTCTCGCGCGCGGGAGTCGCCCGCCTCTAGCTTCAACATCCATCATTATAACCATTATGTCGAGCTCACGATCTCAAGAAGACACATATGAGGCTCAGAATGACCAGAGACTGGATGACCTACACGCGAAGATTCGCACATTGCGCGGTGTACGCCCACACATCCCAGAGCGCTCGCAAGCACTAATTGTGAGGGGGATTGCTAGGTAACAACAGATATCCACGACGACGTTGAGAGGCAGAACTTGATGCTCGATGATACGGTACGTGCTTTGCGCTCGCATAGAAGCCCCATACTGACAGGCCGTGTGCTCTGCACTCTAGGGCAATACCTTCACCTCTTTCGGACATAGCCTTTCCGCATCCGCGCAACGCATGACACGCTCGTTCAGCCCGGGTACATTATCGACGTTACGCATCGCTGGATTTATATTCGGAGCGTTGGCCGGGTTTTGGTTCATGCGGCTCATTCTGCGGTGGTGGGGATGGTTGGCTTGAGCCTGAGTTGTGGCGTCCCACAATACCCCGTACTTGACCTCGGTGCGTAGTATGGAAATGAACCTGAGAAGCCGATACTCATGTTTACATACCAGGCGTATCTTCTTCTCTACGTACGGACATATGTGTATCCTGCGGACTTGCTTTGACACTACTGCTTCTATTGATTATAATGCTAAATCGCACTACGACGACAATCCACGCGGGTGGCCCGGTAACTTGACGAGTTCCTCCCAGGACGCTCCCAGTTTCATCTCAGTCTTCGCATCGGGAGTTAGCGAGATAACGAGTTATTCGCTATGGTCAGTGAGAGTCCGACCTGGAAGGCTATGCGCCCCTTTCGAAGTCGGGTAGCTAGTTGACAGGACACTGTACTGTATCCAACATAATACTCGCGGTCTCAGCCTATACCACATCGAGTCGTTGGTTCGCTTGCGAGGTGGATGAGATGAGTGGATCGGATACGTACCGATCCTCCGTTCAGTGGGTCGCCGCTGTATTGCAACCTTGCGCCGTACAAGGCGGATCTTCGAACCCAAACTTGTCCCAAACAATACCGCTGCGTATAGATAGGACTCTGTGCGGGGCTCATGTTCTCGAGTCTCGCGAAGGGCAATGACCATTCCACATCAGTGGAGAGTACGGCCTTGCGGATCTGCATTGGGTACGTTCCAATACAACGACTCCATACCAGCGGATGTTGTCCCGCTCGTTTGAGGTAACCGTCACTGTCTCAGTGCTTTCTACGCGCAGCAGGATGAGAGCCTAGCGAACCGATTGTCATACATTGTTCCAATGCTGTATCGAGCTGGCTTCTGCGGCGTCTTCCATCTTGTACTTCTGACGCCTAGTCCCTATCCTCACTGTCCATTCAATCTGGCCAGATATGAACCTTGATGCACTCATGTTCGCTATAGGCACTATATCGTATTGGGAAGGAAGAGAACATTGACCAGGCGGACTAGAATGATAGAAGTTGTGACCCTGCGCCTTCCCCAGGTCTCCTGGGTTCTGGGTTTCTGGCGGCGTACGTATCTGGTAGTCAGCGGACTGTGCCTCACTGACTCTACGCGTCTCGAGCCGCTAGGATCTCGCGACCAACAACCCATGGCCATGCTACAATGTAGTTGGAGACAATGGAGTTGCATACAACAACTACGCGGGCTCGGACAAGTTCGCCGCGCCCATCTCAACTCGCAACGGGCCCCGTCACTTGAGGTCTTCCGCCGTATGCTAACCTATGTCGGGTTGCCTGCATAGTCGAGCCAAGGTTCCAATCCGTGGCGCTCGCTCCGCGCCGAGTGCCGAGAATGGCTTGCGAAGGAGTGCCTAAAATGAGCTAAATTGTCGGCAAGAATGCCTTGCGCACGGACCACCTCGACCGACTTGGCGTTCGCCAGTGTTTGTCCAAGTTCCCACATGATGATGATGAATCGACCTCATATATTATTCAAGACAATGCAGAAAAGGCGATGCCAAAAGAACAGGGACGTCGGAGCGGATGAATGGAGGTGGGCATCACATCGGGCATGAAGGGGGGATAGGCTAGAAGAGACGTAGGGACGCAGACAGACAGATGGTTGAGTGGCAAGAGGAAGAAAGGATGATGAAAAGCGAGGCGACAGCAGGGGACTTAAAGTACACACACAGACCAGGGCAGAGCGCGCGGAGAAAACATACAATGTACACGTCTTCGACCGAGCAAGTTCGAGGACATGGGCGGATGTGGGCGCGTGCACCCGTCAGCGTTCATATATCCATTTGGGTAAGAGACCCATTAGGCCTACAACATGCGTCAAATGGAGATCTTTGCGATCGTGAATGAAAAACGTACAGTTGCCTCGGTCTCCATTGGAGCGGCGGTCTCTTCTGCTGGCTCCGCCTCCTCAGCGATAGTCTCCTCAGCAGGAGCAACGGCGACAGCATCGTCGGCCTTGGCAGCAGCGGCCTACAAAAGCGACGTCAGCCACTGGACAGAAGACGCATAACGCGGAGAGGAGTGACATACCTTCGAGGACGGCTTCTGGCTAGCCTTCGACGCCGGCTTTTGGCTCGCCTTGGATGCAGGCTTCTGAGAACCTGCGCGAGATGCCTTGGAGGCAGGCTTATCTGCGGCCGCCTTCGATGCAGGCTTCGCCTTGCTGGCCGGCTTCGTGCTCGCGGGCTTTGCCGCCTTGCTTGCGGGCTTGGTGGCCTTCGATGCAGGCTTGGTAGCCTTGGACGCAGGCTTCTTGCTCTCGGGCTTAGCCTATAATATTTTAGAATAACATCAATAAACGAAAGCACGTGAGGGGATAAACAGACAATGAACGCACCTTCTTGGCCGGCGGCTCGCCGTTTGCCTCGCCGTCATCCTCAGCAGGGCGCTTCTTACCCTTGGTACTCTTCGGCTTCTCGGCAGCAGCCTCCTCGCCAGAGCCCTCGGCGTCTTTGGCCTTCTTGGTGGACTTGGGCTTCGCCGGAGCCTTCTTCGGCGCGGGAGCCTCGACCTTTGGCTGGTCCTTGATGCGCGAGGAGCGGCGGGGCTCGGGTGCGTCACCCTCAGTGGCAGCGGCAGCGGCTTTGCGAGGCATTTCGAAGTTTGAAAGAGGAAATTCGGATAGGGGATCGAGTTGGAAGGTGGATGTTTGGGACAAGCAGGCGAGGGAAGCGGCGCCGTGCCTCGAGTGGATTGAAGCGTTACGTAATTCAGCCGCCGTGGTCATTCAACAAAGTCACGGGACGGCCCAGATCGGCCGTTGCCGTGTACAGTGAGTTAACTTCGCACAGATATCAGTGCTTGATCAAACCGAAGAATGACACGACATATCCTCGAGAGCAGCGCGGATGGTCAAGCCATCCCGGTAGTTGCGGGGACGCAGACGTCGACGTTGTCGAAGCCGCCGGTACAGAGTCATAATTGCCGGCGGGATCCCTGGTGTGGTGACGCACGCTATGAGTGAACACCCGTTCATGACGCGGGTGTCCAACATAGGGAGGAGGGAGCTGCACACCTCTGCGACAGGTAGAAGCGGCGCGCTCCAGTACTGAGTCTTCATTATCCCGTCAAGCTTAAGTGATCACGCGCGTGGACTGACTCGACGAGATATGGATAATCCCCTGACCTGCTCAGTACAGCGCTCATACTCATCTAGTATCTCGAGACGCACCTCACTCAAGACATAGAGTGTTAGCTGCGTTTCAGTAAGACATACGTATCCATGCTATCCATCGCACTTCACTGACTCGATGAATACTATTCCCAGACCCACAAGCTGCGCCGTTGGCTCTTCCAAGTACAGACGTCACTTGACTGTCAGCTCACATCATCAGGACAGCTGTTGTCCGCTCGAGACAGGCCGTATGCGGGGACGCGGATGTGTGATTGACTCGCAGAGACCTTTGAAGATGCCTAATCCAGGTCAGTCAAACGCGCTCGCCGTGTCGCACCAGTCACTAGGACCAGATAGGACACCCGCCCTAAGCTGTGAGTAAATGCCAACAAAGAGAACTGTTTGATCGGCGACATGACCGACGGCACCATATGCTTGCTTTGAAGCAAGGTTCGAACTCCGCAGGGCACACCGGGGCGAGACGCCAAAAATAATCAATAAAACCCGGCGAAGCAAATATCCGAGCTCGATCTCCGGGTGAAGAAGGAACGAGAGCAGGTTCTATAGAGTCGGTCGTCTCACCGGCGTACAGTTAAGGAGTTTGGGGTGGCCACGTTCACAAGGTCCCCGTCGCAGCCGAGTTTAGATGCACGGCCATAGATGATATGGTGTACGGCGATGCGCGGGCGCGAGACCGTTTGAAGGCGAGCGGATATATGCGGTACCATAAAGGAATATTCTTCATGTCAAGGAAATGTCTTCTGGAAGGTTGGACAGCCAGCAACGAATATGTGGGCGTCGATACATAGCCTTGATCCCATGCTGTGTCAGTTAGCATGTTCACCAGTATGACTCGATGAAGTATTGTTAGTCAGCTGGAAAGGCCTGGTAGTCAGCGCAGCAGATACCATAACATGCGATAAGCCTCGTACGAGGCCAGTACGCGAAGCGAGTGGGTAGAAAATGGATAAATGACGCAAAGCGAGGTGGGTCTGAGATCGAAGGCCTGAGAAACCTGCAGTGCACACGATACGCGTACGAACTACGCGTCAGAGGCTATGCCCAACATAAATTGGCTTTCGCTCATGTGCCACAGCACAGAAGCTGACGTCGAGCTCTAGAAGGCAAATAAAGCTGTGTATCGACGTGCGCTCATGGTGGTCGAGAGAAGAAAGCGACTCCGTGGTAACGCCCGGACCGGGCGTTTCCGCGCGCCGTCCGCGAATCGTGAGCATCCGCGGCTTTCCATGGGACCACCAACTACACCGCGTTTGCCCTGGCATGATCATCGCAGTTCAAGTTTATTTAGCCGCAGCTCCTTTGGACTATCTTAAATGCCGGCGGCGACAGCAGCTCCTACGCGTGTACGCCTTTGACTCGTACTCCTCACGACATCACGGGGAACCGGCCTTTTTGAGTGCGGAGCGAAGGCTTGCTCGTTTGTGCTATGTAACGATCTCGCTCCTTCGCGTTACGCTCGTATGTGTAATCGGAGGACAAGACCCCGGACGCACTGCCGATACTGTTGTGTTTCTGGGGGCACGACAATCAAACAGCGGGGCGGACTGTGAACCTGGGACCGTTGACTATGAAGTGCAACCTGATAGCCTACTACAGGCGTCAACTCGCCTATTCAAATCTCAGACTCGACACCAAGAGAAAAGCTGTGCTATCGGGCATCGGGCTAGGATCCGTACTGTGCAACACCTCCATGCTACCCCCAACAATGAGTCAAAGCGTACACGATACCGAGGCCCCGCTTCGTTCCTGTCTGCGTAACCCAGTCGGCCTAACCGGTGGTTCTGTGCACGGACGACGGCAGCGTTGTTAGTTTTGATGCGGATATGATGACCAGAGACCCGGGACAGGTCACCGTGTACTCCATAGGACGACTGTGCTTCAGGTTCTCGTTCTTCGATGCTAAGTGGCGGTGGTATAAGTATTGAGGTCCACCACGCGACATCGCTGTGTTATCCAGAAGTTCATTGTCCGGCGCCGCCTTCTCTACACACATGGCCCCACCAAGCATTATACTCTACGACGCCCCTAATGCTGCCCCCGAGGCCTGGGCCCCTAACATGTGGCGTGTCCGGTATGTTTTGCTCACTGGGGATCTACAGACGAAGACTCAATCGCGTGCTCTGTCCCAGGTTCATACTCAACTACAAGCGACTTCCTTATCGCACTGTCTGGGTCGAGTTCCACGACGTCGAGCGCGTCTTGCGTAGCGTCAATGCTCCCCATACCGCCATCGCACGCGACGGGCGCCCAATCTACACTCTGCCCGCCTTAGTGGACCCGTCCCGTTCACCTCACAACCCCGTCATCCTCACGAATCCGAACACGATCGCGGAATACCTCGAGGTATGACAAATCCTCATTATATCCTATCCCCGCGTAAGCCGAGTGCCGACGCTGACCTGACGCCTGTGCGTGCATAGGTCACATATCCGGCTCGTCCCGTATACCCGCCGGGCTCTCGAGCACTGCAGTCGATCTTCGTACAGTACCTGATGGACGTCGTCTTACAGCCACTGCTGCCGATCATGGTGCCTCTTACCTACTCCCGTCTTCCGGCGCACGTCCGCCAGCACTTCCGAGGTGGCCCTTCCATTCCATCTGGCCCTCACCGCGCGCAAGCTTGGGAGGCCACGCGCGTGCGCTTCGATCAGTTCGCCGCGATGTTGGAGAAGAACAACATGGGCGATGGCGATGGTGTCGTCGCTATGGGTCGCGAATTGACCTATGCCGACTTCGTGCTGGCATCCGTACTCATGTGGATCAACCGCGTCTCTCCGGACGATGGGTGGATTCAAGTCTGCCAGTGGAGCGGTGGTCGGTGGGCTCGGCTGTGGGAGCGCTGTACACCTTACATGAACGTGCTTTGAGAGCATATCGGCCCTCTAGAGCATACCCGAATCTCGCCAGGATTGCGAGCAGTCCATTCGCTGATCAGTAGACATATTTATTCCGGCTTACATCTTACCCTGGTCTCTCATAAACGCTGTCTTTTTACTCCCCTGTCTCCGCGCTTCGGCTCCCTCAATTTCCGCTCATTGTGTTTTACTATATATTTACCATCTCCTCCTGCTGTATCTTAGACGTGTACTCCCTACTGTACTTCTTAATGGTAATACTGTATCTAGTTCATTTCGCGTAGTGCGGCGAATGAGCCAAGCGAGCGAATTGCGGTACATCCGGTCGTAAGACCCCGTGCGAGCGTCGGACCGATGCAAGATGGGCGTCAACCACAGCTCTTGCGGCGCGGCACGTTCAGGCTGCACTTGACCTCGACTTCGAATCCGCGACAGCGTCATACATCTGCTGCTTACTTTACTTTACGCAGCCAGAGCTTACTGGACGGTCGCGACGGTATCCGTAATAATAATTAACGGCACGCCTTCGAGCTCGTGGTGGAGATGTCGCTGTCGGCTATAACGTCACCGACGTCGCCGTCGCCGTTCTCGCCGAGCACGAGCACGCCGTCCTCGTCGGCCGTGACGATTCCGACGCCGGGACGGTCGATCCTGAAGAAGCCGCCTCCTCCGACCCAAGGCTTCTTCTCGCGCATCACCAAGCTGCTCCCGACGCAAACACCCCAGCAGCAGCCGGGAGACGAGGCAAAGTCACTCAAGCGCGCACACTTTATATTGCCGGAACTCGTGACCGTTTACCCGATTTCTTCGGTCAACCCTCCATCGACACCACTGTTGAAGGATGAGAAACGCTCGATCGAGCAGAGGGAAGCCGAAAGGAGGAGGAGAGTCACGCGCGGAAACTCTCAGTCTGGCACGGATGCGGATGACTTTTGGTCGATGGAGAGGGTCGATGTGTTTTATCACGAATGCTGCGCTAGCAGGGAAGAGCAGCCGAACTTGGAGTTGTCAAGGGCGTTCAGAGTGCGTATATTCAATCCTTAGTTTGACGGCTGTCTGATGGTGTGGCCCGCAGAGCGCCTCCAGCGTCACTCCGCGGACGGTCGACTTTTCGGGAATACAGTTGACGCCTTCATTGGCAGCCACGTTGTCGGATGTGTTGACGATTGAGTGGGGACTGCGAAGAGTAACATTCCGGGAATGCGATCTGGATGAGAGGGTACGCTATCATTTCTCTATTCTGAAGTCACTGTGCACCTACGCCACCATGATGATTAATGTGTTTGCGAACGGCACGTTATCCAGTATTGCATACCACTTTGGCCATCGCATACCCATAAACGACCGAGGCTGCTTCTTGACTTGATCGCAACAGCTTCTGACGTAGATTTCAGGTCCTCAAGCCAATCCTGCATGCACTCTTGATACCGAACTCGTTAACATTCCTTTCTGTCGCATCCAATCGCCGATTGAAGGCACCGGCATACCGACTCATCGGCGCTTATGTTCAGAAGGTAGTACAGATCACAGCAGTGTATGACATCTGTACTGAAGTGTCCCAAGGCGAAGTCACTGCAATTCTTGGACTTGTCACAAAATGCGCTGGACAAGAAGTCCGTGGAGTACGTTGCTGGAGCGCTGGCGCAAATGCCGGAACAAGGCCTGGCTTCGTTGAAGTTGGATGATTGTCAGCTGAAGCCGCTAAGTCTTGAGGCCCTTGGTAAGGCTCTATATCAGACACGAGTGAATGTCAACTCAGTATTTGATAGCCCATCTTGTGAGGACCTCATCCTTGAAGAACTTGTCTCTACGGCATAACCGTATCAACGCTACTGGGGCTGTCGCTGTTGCTCTCATGATTAGGGATTATCCAGACGTGGTCCCTGGAGGGGTATCACCAGCCAACTCCACTCCAAATACGCCGCCTATGTCGCCGAAACCCGCACCTTCTCCTCTTCCAGGCCCGGCTCCGGCTTTACCGCCAGTACCTCCGCCTACGCGCACCGGACCGCTTCCCCCACCACCGAAGCATCCAACGACTGTTCCACAAACGACATATACACCATATATCCCACGGTCAAAGCGATCTGCGGCAGCGGCACCAGTCACGAACCCACTCAGTCCATCAGGCCAGCACGTACCTATCATCACTTCCTCCGCAACCGGAGGTGTTACTACGCGCCACCCGGTCCCATCTACTCCTTCATCTACCCAGCATAACGCCAACGGTGCGCACCACCATGGTCCTAGCGCTGCGCTCCTGGACAAAGTCCGGGCTTTGGATAATTTACCTCGTTTGGGCGCCTTACGGACGCTAGACCTCCGCGGGAATGATCTCCGCGTGCGTTGACCTATCCGTCCTAATCCGGCGGCTCCAACTGATGAAATGCTCCAGACCGGCGTCACGTACATAGCGCAAGTGCTGAAACGCAATAGAACACTACGAGTGCTCAACCTGAGTGAGAATAAGCTTGGTGTACAGGAACTCGTGGCCATTGCGGACGCTCTGGTACAGCAATATTACTAAATATTGTCATGCTGTGCTGACATTCTTTTCAGAAATACAACTCCTGCTTGGAAACGCTCGATCTGACTCGCAACCCGTGCAGCGGACCCGGTCTAGAAGGGGTAAGCCTACAATGATTACCAGATAGCCGTATAGCCTTTCGCTGACGTCCGTATTCTAGATTCAGTCCCTTCGCACAGCGTTTACCCTGAACAACGCATTGAAGCGCCTTTTCTTGTCAGCAACCGGAATGACATCGACCGGTGCGATTGCACTCGCAGAGTTCCTGCCCGAATCGACGTCGTTACTTCATTTGGATCTGACCGAGAACAAGCTTGAGCTCGCGGGTGTCATGGCGCTCAGCCAGGGCCTGAAAGCCAATCACACCATGCGCTGCCTCGATCTGAATATTCCGCCGAGCGACGAGAAGATGGCCCAGTACGTATCGATTACGCCGTCTACGTCCCGAGTTGACAATATGACATGTCTGCAGAATGTGCCGAGCGATCCTCGAGACCTGCGTCCGGAACACCGAAGAAGCCGAGAAGAGCGCGCAATCGGGCATCTCGACGCCTACCACCGGTCGCGGGCAAGGCAAAGGTCTGTGGACGATGATCGAGGATAGCTCGCTCGCGCGCTCGATCCGCAAGGATGATACTAAGAAGGTCCATATCCGTTCTCCAGTTTCTTCTCCGTCTCCTCTCACTTCCGCTCCCGCTCCTTTGGACACCATGCTCACGACCGAGGCGCCGCTCTCTATTTCTGCACCACAGGCCGGATCCGACACCATCGCTCAAGCACGGCAAATTGTATCAGAACTCGAAGCGATACTCGCAAGGTCGCCGGGTAGCTCGTCTACGCCGTCCTCACCAATTGTTGGAGGCGAAGAACATCCAGAACTTGTGCTTCGCGCGCGTACTATCCTCAAACCACTTGGCGGCGTGATCTCGAAGGAAGAAGACCCGATGAAGCTCGAAGAACTACTCGAGCTCAATGACAACCTGACTTCGCTCGTCTCGCAGCTCAGCCCGCGCCCACATCTTTCGCTTCAAGGCCTCGGCATGTCCTTAGACCAAGCCATGGCGTCCCCTATCATCATGGCAGGACCCGACGGCGAGATTCTCGGCCAAAACAGCATACACAGCCGTAGCACCTCTTCCAATGGCTCTGCGAACGGAAACAGCAACGGCGCATCCCCCGTCATTAGTGATTCGGACAGCGAGGCGGAGGAGGAAGTAGGGACGCCGAGGGTGGACAAGGGCAAGGGCCGTGCGCCGCCCGAGCCAGAGGTACATGAGCAGGTGCTTAGCCCTGAGATCACGAGCCCGAACTTTTCGTTCATCACGCGCAAGGCTATCCAAGAGGGTCCCGTTGAGGAACCCGAGGGCGATGATGAACTCGCCCAAGAGGTGTATGAGCCCAGCCCGCACGATATGTGAGTACATCTGTTGACGGCCCTGCGAACTAGGTGCTGATGCATTGGTAGCTCTCGATACTGGGTTGCCGAGGAGGGAGAGGTGTTCCGCAAGGGTCAGAAACTGCTCACGGAGGAAGAGATGGAGGGCGACTATGCTGGTGACGAGCTTCGTGTTGAGGTATGTGACTCGACTTCGTTGCTTTAGCACTTTGCTCACAGCCTACATAGCTTCTGGAAGCAGAAGTCGAGCGGCCGCCTCCGCGCATCATGGTCGACGAGTTTGGTCAGACTATCGATGGAGGTGACCCTGTGGAAGTTCCTCCACCGTCTGCGCCTGTCCCGGAGCCAGAACCTTCGAAATCCGCTCCTCGTCCATATATCTCCCGTCGCTCCTCAAACGCCTCCATTCGGAGCCAGGACTCGGGCAACTCCGTACCTGCAAGCCCAGCTACAGGCAAACCTCCCGCCAGTCCGTTGCTCGGTGGCGTACCCGAGAATGGGATTCTCGATACGCCCACGAGCCCCACACCTGGAAACGGTGCTGCCGCGTTCGTGCGCTCCTATGTGCCTCGGCGGAGGACGAGCAGTTCGTCGCTTTCGAGTGAACGATGAATACCTACGCGCTTCGCCCATGTGAATACCCACCCTTGATTCTTGCGGACACGATCTACGGCCGGTATACTGTATAGCCCATGGAATCTCGCGTACCTTGGATAGGATACTCTGTTCGTCCGGAAGATTCAACACTGCTCATGCTCACACACACCTGCACATCCTACATCCCCTCTGCAACCTTCAAGATATCGAGATACCTTACGGCGCCCGTAATTATCCCACGTACATATGCCTTAACCCTTCTGAGTAAATACTATTCCCGCGCTTTGGCCTTGAATCATGCTGTCGCCTTTGCGTATCGGAGCTCAAGGCGCGCGGCTCTCTGTAAGCTTGAGAACGGTGTTGAAGGTGGGGTCGATAGCACGCCATCCCACCACCGTTTGCCGCGCGCTTTCGCTCTCTTCACACTGGGGCTGCTATCGCGAAGTGCATGATCATGGTGCATTCGCACTCAAGAAGCTAGCGAGCGATCTCTCGGTCAGCCATCGATCTCTGCATTCGACCACCACCACCACAATGTCTATCAGCCCTATCAACGTTGGCGACACTCTGCCGAGCATCACGCTCAAGAACGAGAAGGGCGAGGACGTTGTGAGTGCTTCGGATGCGCGCTTGATGAACTTGCCATCGACGCTCATCATGCTGCGCCGCGCAGGACGTCTCGAAGCTCGCTGACGACAAGGCTCTCATCCTATTCGCTGTGCCCAAGGCCGACACGCGTGAGTATACATTCGTTGCATAGAATGACTGTATATTGACTGGCATGATATTCCATAGCCGGATGCAACACCCAGGCTTGCACGTTCCGCGACCAATACACCGATTTCACCGGATACGACGTCAACATCTACTGCATCTCGCACGACACTCCCGATGATCAATTCAAGTGGCAGCTCAAGGTACGCACCTATACCGAGTCACGGCGCTGTCTGACATGTACTGATCTCCCTTGCCATTTGTAGAAGGAACTTCCGTTCCCGCTTTTGAGCGACCCCGACCGTGTCCTCATCGGCGCGCTTGGTGCGGCCAACGACAAGCCCGGCACGACCCGGTCGCACTTCGTCTTTGCCAAGGGTGGCAAGCTTGTTGAGAAGGAGCTCCCGGTCACACCGACTGACAGGTACGCTCTCGTCATTCCTTTGCCATCGTCTAGTCGAGCTGAGCGCGCGTCTGCCATCCAGCCCCATCAAGGCGCTTGAGGCTGTGAAGAAGCTCAAGGCCAGCCTGTGATTGGAAGGAAGGAAGGAAGGTTCGACTTGGCAAGGCAAAGCAGTTGTAACAACGGTTGTTGTAAGTTACTTGGAGGATCAGCTCGCAGACTTGACTGGGAAGATCATGTCAATGCGCTGTCAACATAAACTCTATGTTCATTCGTGATCACCTTTGCAGTGCAACGTGTGCGTCTCTGTCTCGCCGACCATACTCAAAATCGGTCACGAGTATGTCCTGCTGAACGATGGTGCTGCGAGCGCCGGTTCAAGAGCGGGTATGGACCCCTGTTCTGTCTCTGCGCATCGCGGGCGAAGAGAGTTGACTGATCGCCGACATTCTGCCCTGCAGGTGGGTAGTGGAATGCAGGCATCTGTCTCTCAGAGGCCTGCTCCGCGCGCTTTCACACCCCTTCTTGCTCGTTGCAGAAGCTGTATTGCGAGTTTGAGATTGACGGAACGCTGAACAGATGTGCCGCATGACATCCTATCATTCATATCCTGCGGCTATAAGAGGTCGCGAGGCGACCAAGAGAGCTAGCGCCTACTTGTCCGATTCACTCTTCCAGATACGCGATGTCCATTGTCACCGCTGGACTGCTTGGAGCGGTCATCTTCGCTCGCCATGGCGACCGCAACGAGTTCTTCCAAGACCCGCTCACCTATAACCCGAGCAATACCGTACTGACTCCTCTTGGGACGGTATGTGTCCTGCTTTCCAGATACCCTTCCAGCTGATTGACCATATCAAGGTCGAAGAGAACTTCCTGGGGGAGTTCCTACAGGCTACCTACATCAACAACTCATCGTCCAATGCCATTGACGGCTTGGACTTCCCCGTCGCAGACTTGGACCAGCTGCTGGTTCGTGCTGATGCTGCCGGTGAAGGCGTGACCATCGTGTCGTCGACTATGGCGCTTCTGTCGGGCCTGTTCCCTCCGACCCCGGCGTTCAACATCACTCTGGCCAACGGCACGACGGTGGTGGGTGCGCTCGGAGGCAACCAATTCATTCCAGGTTCGTGAGGTTCCCAATCAGGAGCAGCCATAACGGTCGCTGATACGTCCGTTTAGTGGAGACCGTCGAACCCGACTTGGACATCTCGCTCAACTCCTTCACGTCCTGTCCTGTACGCGCACTCTTCCTCTCTGCTCCTGAAGTACTGGCTAAACTATCTTTAGAACTTTGACGCGCATACGCTCGCGTTCTACGGTTCCCCGCAGTTCGCCGCAGAAGCACAGACCGCGCAGCCATTCCTCGACACGCTTGAACCCTTCCTCGATGGACGATCGATCAACTTCACGAACATGTTCAATATTGTCAGTCTTTCTTCCTTCGCCCTGTTCCCTATCTCATGGTCATCGTCAATGATAGTTCGACTTCGTGAACGTGAACAACATTCACAACGCCACGTTTCATGACGAGCTTCCGGCAACCTTTGTCGAGCAAGCATACGGCTTTGCTAACTTCCACGAGAATGGTGTCTTCTCGGATGTCTCGCCATCGGGGATCGGTAACGGTGCGGCTACTTCGAAGTCTCTAGTGGATGCTCAGCGCCTGACTGGACTCGTAGTCGCCTTCAGGACCATCCTTCCATCCGTCTTCTCTTCCCTGACTCGCATCGCCAACGCGAGTGATCCGCTTAAGCTGGCTCTCAACGGGATCTCATATAAGCCGTTCATATCCTTCTTCAACCTGACTGCTGCCTCCGTTGACGGTCAACCTCTGTTCGGTATCGGTGCGTCTCAGAACCTGAGTACCGATGCATGAGCTCATGTATTCGATGGTTCTAGTGGACTACGCCTCTGCCCTTTCACTTGAGCTCCATGACAATGCGGACGCAAGCGGCGCGTCTGATCCTGTCCTGACCTTCCAATTCAAGAATGGAACCTCGGACACGGAGTTCCACCCCGTCAGCTTGGGAGTCTTCAACGATAGCACAAGCGTACCCCTCAGCACATTCATCAACACGTTGTCGGTAAGTGCTACGTGGTCTGTACGCCTCTCAATTCAATGCGTGCTCACACGAAGTATAGCCTTTCGCTATCAACAATACAGCTCAGTGGTGCCAAGCATGTAATCAGACGACGCTTCGGGGCTGTGCGGCCTGTTCGGCCTAATCGCGATGGTACAGATACCGCGTGTGACGTGGCAAGCATGTACAGCGCGACCTCTCCTGTATAACTAGTTTGGACATGCAATCCAGTACTTGCATTGTGCATAGCCCGCAGCCCACCCATCGACCAATATCTACCATACTCCATGGCAACGCGTCCTGAGAAGCCTGTCTCGGATGTCAACCGCCACAGCGAGCTCTACCTGGATACTATCGTCTTCGAGGTGAGCCCCAGCTTTGAAGCATCTGATGGCGTTAGTAATACCAGACGATACGCTCTAGGTTCAAGGAACACTCTTCAAGATACCACACTCCGGACTGTCCGGCGATGCAACGGCTCTTGCGACCAGATTCCTGCTCACTGACTCTGCCGATGGCGACGCATCCGGCTCAAGTGACGCTAATCCCATCCGCCTCGACGCGTACATCACCGTGTTCGACTTCACCAGCTTTGTGAAAGCCGTTGGTCCTCCGTACGAATCTTTCCCACAGCATATGAAGTGACTCGCCTGACACCAACCAACTCGTATAGGTCTGGCCAAGAGCAGTTGAACCTCTCACTGGACGAATGGATGTCTGTTCTAAAGCTCGCGAAGCTCTGGAACCTCGCGGATACGCGCCAGCGCGCTAACTCACAGGCTGAGCGCATCATGTCCAAAAGTACGCCCCTCGAGAAGATCTTGCTCGGCAGGAAGCACGGCGTGATTCAGTGGATTAAGAATGGATACAAAGCAATCGCCTGTCGCGAGGGTGGGTTGACACCCGAGGAGAAGGAGAGCCTCGACCTTGAGACGAGGTATGCCCTGCTCGAGTTGCGCGATCGCGTTTGGGCGTGGACCGTCGCAAACTATCCGTACTCGAGCGACGCTGCCGCTTCGAGTTGCAAGGCCACATTCACCGACTGGGAAGTGGCGATGCTGCAGATATTTGCTGATGAGCTACGTGATGGTCCCTTGTGCTGAGCATGCACTAGCTCACGGAGTGTTGTACCCGGACCCTATGTCGTTTGTGGTTTCCCTTTCACAATCCCAGACCTTGTTTCCGGAATGAGTTCATCCGTCATAAAACACCCGATCCTGACTACGCTACAAGATCTTGATCTGCGTTGCCTTTGCGGTTGTGTTCCATGTTGGACAATGGTCACGTAGCCTTCGAACATGCAAGATATATAAACCATGCTGTTTCTGTGGTCCCATTCAGCACGTCCTCTTCACGTCTTCCCGCTTTACCCTTCCTCCCATGTCATCCGTCAAACCCATTCACGCCCTTTCTTCTTCGACTAACCACATATCTTCGTCAACATCTCATGTCAAGACTGTGACGTCGCCCGCAATGAGGCATTCTCCTCTTTTCAGCGGCAAAATTGTCGTTTACGCAGTAGGTCCCGTCTACTCTGTGACTTCATCAATCATACTGAATCGTGATTGGCATCGTCAGGCAGGTTCTACGTTATTCAACGTCACTCATTCTGGTGCCTCAAATGAAGCCAAGGAGTTTGAGCACAAGTTTTATAATCCGAGAATACCCAATGGGCCTGGCTCTAGCGAGGCTTGCCCGATCAGACTAAGCGATAGTGTCTCGGCAACCGACTTCACACTCTTTCTTCAAACATTGTACCCTGGGTAAGCAGTTCTAGTGTGCGGATTCTTGATTGGTCACTCAGTTTTGACTGAGTAGGGCTGGGCCATCTTATGTTGGGCCTGTGACGATGGAGAACTGGCTCACGGTTCTTAGACTCTGCCATATGTGGAACCTGCCCCTCTCGCGTACGCGTGTTGTGTGGGAGCTGGAGAAACGCTTCTCTGCGTCTCTCAGCAACAGCGCGGATAAGATCGTTCTCGGAAACTACTACGGTGTCCACCAATGGGTCAAGGCGGGATGCTACGCCCTTACATACCGCACCGAAAGCCTCACACCTGAGGAGGAAGACAAGCTCAGCGTAGATCTTCTGGGGAAGGTACTGAAGGTCCGGGAAAAGTATCTCTCCTGGGTGGTCAACAGTATGCGGCCCATCATCTCTACTCAACGCTCCACTATCATCGCGAAGGAGTCGATTTTCGATTTCGACGTCGCGTTCAAGAATGCTTTCGGGATAAACGTCGAGATGGATCTGAGCGTTCAGGCCCACGTCTCCCCATTTACGTTTAGTACGTCTTACTATACTCAGGAAATGCGTGATACGGCTGACCTATTGCTCTCGTAGTCTATTGAGCGCGTGTTGGAATACGATCACGTCGAGGGAGCGTTTATAGTACTCATGATTCACGGTCCGGACCAAGGCATCAAGGCATCTTCTCAACTTTGATCACAGTCCCTTGCTTCTCTCGCCGATGTCTGCGAGCCCCAGACTTGATTCGTGTGCACGTATTGTACCACACTCCCCGCTAATACAATGCGGATATAATGGGTCATACACGTGTGGCTTGTTATGGTCCGCCACGAGCTTCCTTTCAACCTCGTGTTGTAGGCCTGCAGGCTTCCTGATCGCGCGTTTCCCCCGATACGGCAATCGTATAAGTAATGAGATCGGCTGTAACTGCCTTCTGTACCTCCCCTCATGAGTATCTCTGATAGCGAGTTCTCTGTGACCGTGGCAAGCACGCCGATGTCATCTTTCTCCACGCTATCGAGCTCCCCGGTACGTTCGGTGGCGCGGCGCCATAACTCGCGCTTCAGCGTACAGATCGTCGTATTTGAGGTCAGTACCGTGATTGAGATCATGCAGTCAGAGCTGCCTTTTCCTGATCACAGTGCAGGCGGGCGGGGTCATATTCGAGGTGCCACGTTATGGCGTTCCTCAGTCGCCACCCATTACGGCCTTTGAGGCGAGGTTTCCGTGTCCCCGCGAGGAGCAAAGCGCCCCTGGGAGCAGCATCGACAACCCCATACTGGTCGATGGCGTTTCCGAGTCCGATTTCTGTAGTCTCCTGACAGCGATATACCCACCGTGCGTATGGTACTACAGGGCCCAAAGCCGGGGACTAACTCGATCGCATTACAGCCCGGGTCAAACCGCGCTGCTCGAATTGGCTCCTGAAGAATGGACTACTGTCTTCAGGATTGCGAAGATGTTCAACCTAGAGCTCCTACGAGAGGCTGCTTTCAAACGCGTAGACGAAGCTGTCAAGTCCAAGCCGTCCATTGAGAAGATCGCGATTGGCAGACAACTGAATGAAGTCGAGTGGATTCGAACCGGATCCAGAGAACTAGCAGTTCGAAACAGGACTCTCACCCAGGAGGAAAGGGATTCACTCGCTACGAACACATATGTGCGTCTCCTGGAGCTCAGGGATCACCTGAACGACCTAGGCTTGGGGATCAGTGGCAAGATCGTCACGTCGACCTTCGCGACCAGGAAGCTAGGGCATCTCACAGACGACGTGCTCGTACAGTTCCTCGGTGACGAGGTCTCTGATCCCGGAACTTCTTCGTCTTGACAGGATACCCAGTTCTTGATGTTGCCAGTGGTCTCGTCATTGACTCTATAGAGCTGTGTACTTGACCGCTCCTTCAATGTCTTCCCGGTGTATTTGACCTTATGACAGATGGATGTAAAGCGTGCGATTTCTATCCAATGAGCCGATGATACAAGTGGCAAACTACTACATATCCCTTTTCACTTCAAAACCCTTACGCCTTGAGCTTCTTGATGAGCGTCTCGCGCAGGGTCTGGCCGTCCTGAGCGAACTTGCGGATACCCTCGTGGAGCTTGTCGAAGGCCATCTCCTCCTCGAGCAAGTCCCAGCGGAACTTAGCCTCGTCGTCGACGTACGAAACCTTCGGGATAGTCTTAACGCCGGCGGCAGCGGTGGCGTCAAGCTTCTTCGGGACCTGCTCAGTGCTGTTCTTGAGCTGCTCGAGAAGTGCGGGGGCGATGGTCAAGAAGTCAACACCAGCGAGCTCCTTGATCTCGTCAACCTAAGAGGTTCGGATCAGCGGATCAAATTCAAGCCGAATGGGGGATCGGCATGACGCACGTTGCGGAACGACGCGCCCATGACAATGGTCTTGTAGCCGTGCGCCTTGTAGTAGTCGAAGATCTTCTTGACGGACTGGACACCGGGGTCCTCGGCACCAGAGTAGGTCTTGCCGGTCTTGGCCTTGTACCAGTCAAGGATCTGCGCGAAGCATCAGCCTATCGATGTGAAGAAGTGGAGGGCAGTCGTAACGTACACGGCCGACGAAAGGCGAGATGAGGGTGACCTTGGCCTCCGCGCAAGCGACGGCCTGGCCGAAACCGAAAAGAAGGGTGAGGTTGCAGTGGATGCCCTCCTCAGCCTCGAGCTCCCTTGCAGCCTGGATACCCTCCCAGGTCGAGGCGATCTTGATCAAAACGCGCTCACGCTTGACGCCAATCGACTCGTAAAGGGAAATGAGGTGCTTGGCCTTCGCCTTAGTGCCTGCCTTGTCGAAGGACAGCTTGGCGTCAACCTCGGTAGAGACACGGCCGGGGATGATCGCGAGGATCTCCTTGCCGAACTCGACAAGCTATGAGATGAAATCGTATCAGGCCGCAGATTATGATAGTACAGTCACTAGACTCACGAGACGGTCCATCGCGAGCTCTGCCTGCTCCTCCTCAGTCTTGCCGTTCTCCTTCGCGTACTTCACGGCCACATCGATGAGGTGCGCATATTGGGGCTTGTTGGCGGCGGCGAGGAGAAGCGACGGGTTAGTGGTAGCGTCCTAAGGTGATGTTTCTGTGTTAGATACCACATCTACATAGTGCAGACGATTCAATTCTCACTTGCGGCTTGTAGACGTCGATGGCTGTTGGAGGCGTCAGTAAGTCAGATCGCGAGATCGGCGACCGTACGCACACTCGAAGTCGCCGGAGTCGGAGACGACGACGGTGCCGGTCTGCTTAAGGTAGTCGAGGGAGGTCGTCATGATGGTGGTCGATGGTAAAGGTGGGCGTAGCGAGCGGGGAGTTCGGATTAAGAGGGATCTCGGAGCGTCGGCCCGGAACTTGCCGCCTTGCCCTGCCCCAGCCGTGCTCCGCCGCGAACGCTCGTGGGTCAGTCATCCATCCCGCCGTTCACCTTCTTTTTCTCGCACGGCGAGCGCGCCGCAAGCAGACCCTGCCCACAGCTTCCACAACTATGAGAGTCGACGCGTAACATCTTTGATACATCGCCCTGCGCGTTGCTCAACGCCGGCGCAGCGTCAGAAGTGTCCTGTAGACCGCCACTTCTGCGGAGTGGCTCATGGGTCCGCACCAATAGCCAGTGACCGCAAGATGAGCGCATCAGAGTTGGCCAGTCGATCACCTATGACCGGTATGGTTCAGGTTACAGATCCGAAGTCCGTGTAAGTAAGCGTCCGGGCGCAAAGGTCGTCAGCTCTGTCGTGAGATGTGGCATGAATGTATGAGGCGGCCGAAAGCGGCGCATTACCTGTTTCAGGAATAAACCAGGTATGATTGGTAGCGCAGATGCCAAGTCACTTGAGCGCAGGGCAGCGTACGTGACGCTAGCAGGCACGGAGAGAACGGACTACGAACGGGGCCTAGGGCTTGAGAAACCTCACGGGCTTGCGAGTGGCACGGTGGAAGACGGTGGGCAATGGGGATCTGGCATGAACGTGCAATGGCGGATGTCCGATAATCTTTCTAGCAGTTCTAGCTCGGACGCGCAAGGGCTCGTATCGATGAGGACGGCGTCAAGCCGCGGCGGAACATGGGGTGCATTGCGACGAGGCGCCCAGGGTCGGACAGAGAAGGCGCATCGAACTTCGACGCGACACGCCTACAGCTTATATAGGCACTGCTGTATTCACTTGAGTAAGCCGAAGGAGCTGCTTTTCAAGCAGGCCTGAGCGACGTTCTCGATGATGAACGCGGGATTGTTGCCGGCAACAGTGCGCTTGTCGATTGCCAACCCTGGCTTGAAACCGCCTGCGCAATCAGGACACGAGCCCTTCACCTCTCTCATGTCCTTACAATAGTACGCTGACCGGAGAAGCGCATTCTACCGTTATTACAATCACGACAAAGGTGACCATAAACGAGGCCTCTCTGCAGTACACTCAATTGTGCCGATCTGTGAAGAATGCACGCTCTGTGCAGTGTATGTAGAGCGACCACTAAATGGATAGATATATTGCTTCGACCAGACAAGTTGTAACATGTATTGAGGACCAGCCCTTCAGTGACACGGTCAATGGCCGTATAAGTGTAGCCATGCTGGAAGATACATGGATCTTAAGCGCTTGAACGGTCAGCTCAAAAGTTACTGCTCTGACTTCAGCTCATGGCCGAACACCTCCCGAATCGCAGCAGTCTGCTCGCTTTCGCCACCCAAAGCGCGCGTCTGCTTCTTTGACCGATTGGCGTCATCGTGCCGGCCCCATGCACTGCGAAGAAGACCTTCCCAGGCTTTGTCGCGCAGATGTAGTATCTTGAGTTGGGTCGATGCATCCAGCGCCTTTCTCTCTTCCTCAGACAGCCCTTCCCAGCGAAGAATGAGCGCACGATACCCTTCCTCCAACCACTTCACCACTCCGTACTTCTTGCCAAGGAGGACTTTCTGAAGAGGTTCCTTTGTTTGTACGATAGCATCGGATCCCGCAACTGCATGCTCGCGAGTCATCGCCAAATCCCACTTCTTGGAGAGCTTGAGTACCGACATCCATTCGTCGAATGATAGCGCGGTGGCAGAGTTGTGACCAGGGCTGTGAAGAGCGTCAGCCAGACCGATTCGGGAGATCGCTCAGGCGACGTACGGTGGATAAGTCGCCTTGAGCAAGCTGGCGAAATCCGTGTCGCTCACGCCTTCGAGGCGAATAGGATTATCCGCGCTTGACCCGTGCGCGTCTCCCGTGTCGTTTTCGATGAAGAACTTTGCTTGGAAAGCCGCGGCGATGCCAGGTTCGCCATACCATGGTACGCGAAAGCGTTTACCTCCAGCCTATGTGTAAAGTGAGACCAGGAAAAACGCTCAACGAGCGAAGCTTACCTCGAAAACAACAGTGCGAAACTTGAGCTTGAACAGGCCAACGCTAGCTTCGTCGTGGTTGAATTCTTCCTTCACATCCGTCGTTCCAACTAAGATAGCCTTGACTTTGCTGACGGAGCTCATGTTCACAGGAAGTGGGTTTCTGGGACAAGACTGTAAGGCATTCTGGAAGGGTGGGTATAAGTAGACGATGCGATGCCGCGAGGCTACAACACACGGTGAAGCTTGGACTTCGATAGACGCCGTTCCAGATGCTGCTTTAGAAATGCTGATTTAGGTGAGCATCTACCGCTTATCGCACCCATACAGAGTAATCTTGTGGGCCAAAGGGTACTAAGACCTGAGACCTGGGAATAAAGCAGAGTGCAAGTGATTGCGAGCGGTATCTTCGATCCCCGACACTACTACATGCCTGGCTCAGGACGGCGTCAAGCCATTACCGCCTTTGTCCCAGCTTGAATGGCGTATATGATCTCGCAGCATCCGGCGTCAACGTCTCAGAGAGAACGCTGTCAATCTCCAGTGCAAACATACGACCGAACTAGTGGCGGTAACATGGAGGGAGGTAACGAGCGCCTCAACACGGGCCGTGGGAAGTCGGATATTTGATCTCAGCCGCGTGGCATCACGGCATTTTGCCGTAGTCCCGCGGACGCCAATCCGGACTTTTCGCTCCTTCGTCCATCCTCTCAATAATTAGCACATACACTACCTCCAGGCTCCCCAGAGGGCGGTTGGACTGAAGCATCAACGCGACTCTGCTGTACCGACCCACCCGTTTTTGCGCGAGACCATTGAAGAGGGGTGAACCTTCTCGAAATTTCGGTCCCCAGTCTCGTTCGCGCCGGAATGAATCAATAAATGGCGTTGTTTTCTCGAGTTTTCTGGAGGCGTTCTCGCAGCCCGGAGACCGTCACTACATCTGCTGCGCATGGTCTGCTGAACGCTCATGACGTCTCCCTCAACGTCGGACGCGTCGCGAATGTTCTATACACCGCGCTCGCCCGCCCGCATATAACCGCCCCTCCCAGCCTGCCCGTCTCCCCAGCAAACACACTCACTCAACTTCACATTCGCGCTCAAACCAACTCTTCTACGCTTTCACCTTCTCAACTACATCGCCACTCAACGAACCATCATGTCGCTCACGAACTTCTTCTACGAGCCCTTCTACTCCCTCTCTGACTTTGACCGCCTCTTCGACGACGCGTTCAACGCGCGTCAAGGTTCGCCTCGCGGTCAGGGGGGACAGAATGGGCAGAACGGACAGCTTGCGCGTCGCGGCTCTTCCCTTGCTAGCGCCTTGCGTCCCAAGTATGTTCACTTCCTCATCGTTCGACCGGCTCAGTATACTGACGATTGACCTATAGGATGGATGTGCATGAGGACAAGGAGAAAAACGTCGTCACTGCCTCCTTCGAGCTTCCGGGTCTCAAGAAGGAAGACGTCCACATCGACGTGCACAATAACGTCCTGACCATCTCGGGTGAGACCAAGACCGACGAGTCGAAGGAGCAAGACGGCTATGCCGTGCGCGAGCGCCGCTTCGGCCGCTTCTCGCGCTCGATCCCGGTGCCGCAGGGCATCAAGGTAAGCTCTTCGTGCTCTCTGTGGCAATGAAGTGCATGCTGACGAAGTCATACAGGAGGAAGAGATCAAGGCGAGCTTGGAGAACGGCGTTTTGAACGTGACGTTCCCGAGGTCGGCGCCGGAGCTGGCGCCCAAGAAGATCACCATCCAGTGAATGAACTGAGCATCTCATCATCTCGCTCCGCCTGGCCCTCCACCACGATCTTACCACTCTTCTTTCTCCTGAATCATTCATGAATGCATGTAGTCGCGCTTGTTGTCGAGTTTTGTACCTGCTTTGCCCAATACACTTCATCATTGTTTCTCGTTCCAACCTAGACAGGATCCGCATGCATTCCACAGAGAGCGAGTAAGAAAGCTAGCATAGTACAAGTACAACAACGTCCGCAACGAAATGCCCTCGCTCACTTGCCGGCTTCCTTCCCAGCAACGAACTTGGCCAAATAGCTGACCATCCCACTCGTCTCCTCTCCGACAACTCTGATCCACTCCGGAGGAAGCATGAATCCATACGTCCCCGTATCCCTTAGATGAACCGCAAAGCTCCATCGTACGCCCAGAGCCTTGTACATCCAATCCACGACGTTCCCTCCGGCTTTATACAGTGTCTCACACAAAGAGCCGGTGGTGAATGCCGCGCCGTGTGTACCTCTCACAGCGAACGCGGCGCCATGTGCGGCTTCGAGAAGGTCTTCGGCATCTCGAGGCGTTTTGGAGCACGAGAAGGAGAAGGGCGTGGAGAGCATTTGGCCGTAGGAGCGTAGGTCCAGGTAAGCGCGTAAGTTGGGCTGGACTTCTAGGTATGTTGCGAGCGAAGAGACTTCGGGCGCCTGGAAGGCTCGTGCTCCGGGATACCAGTGCGAGCAGGGATCCGCAGGCGGTGATTTTGGTTTCTTGCCCTTCTTGCCTTTCTTGCCACCCTTCTTCTGTCGAGATATCTCAACGTCCTCATAGTCGTCGTCGTATTCGTCGGAAGAGAAGTTAGGTCCGTAGGAGGTGGGGTTCGCTTTCCACTTGTAGCCCCAGTTCCGGTTCATGTCGACGCCGGTGCATAGTGCGCCGTGTGCGAGTGTCTGACGATTCTTGTACCAGAACCTGTCCGTCTCCCATGTATAGAGATAGCCGTCCGGGTTCGGCACGGGTACGATGTAGAAGTTCTGGTGTTGTGATTAGGACCAACTCAGAAAGTACAGATGAAGGATCGGCGCGTACGAATTCGTCAAGGAGGGCGTTAAGCGAGTACGCCTCGCTCTGGTCCGCAACGAGCGCGTGGGCGAGATAGACCGCCGTAGCCGTCGCAACCCACTGATCATCGAGCACGTATCAGCGCTCATACAACGCAGGACGTAAAAATGCAGAACATGAGACGCACCTCACGCGCGTGCTGCGCGCCTGTAAGAGCGAACCCAATCTTCCCGTTTTCATCGCCGCCGTGTTTCCGCTTCCTGTACCCTCCCTCCCCGCTGACCGTGTCTGGGTCCTGCGGCGGTATAGACGGTCCGGAAGAGATCTCCAGCGCGTACATCTCTCGCCCTTGGGCGCTGTGTCCAATACCCACGATGCGCACTGTTTCCGGATGTGCGACGGAGAGGTCGTGCATGAAACTGTATATTTCGTCCAAGGTGCGGTAGGAGCCGTGGAAGGAGGCGTTGGTGAGACTTGAAAGGTCCCATGGCTCATCTGCCGTCTTTCGTGTAGATGAAGATGATGCATAGGCGGACGAGGGTATTGGTGTGTCGGTGAAGTTAGAGAATAGAGAGGCGTAGTGCTCTAAGGATGGTGCAGACGAGGGGAAGTAGACGTCGACAGAGGTTGATGTTGCGTGCCATACATCCCAGTCACTTTCCTACACAACATTTCGGTACGACTCTGGGCACACAGTGATAGCGTACATACCTGAGCATGGGCGAGGAATATGTCGGCCAGGCCATGAGGTACGGTGAACCGCCTCAGCACACCGGCTCCAGACGGGTCGTTTTCATGTTCGGAAGATAACACAACTTGCTCGGCTGCAGCCGACGCGCTCGCCGCGAGCAAGAGCGCAGCAAGTTGGCGCAGCATCTCGAGGGATATCGAGTGGAACAAGCCTGAATGTAGGCCCTTAAGAACGGCGGGCAAGTGGTGGGATAAGAAGAGTAGAGCAATTCAACGGTGGTAGTCTTGACTATCTCGCCAGCTCTAGAGTGTGTTGATCAGACTTCTCCAAGCGCGGAGCGCCCGTATAAAGTGGTCGTGTGCCGGTTCGAAGTACGTTATCAGAGTTGACACCGGCGTAAACAGACACGCCCCTGGATCCCGTGCGACTGTAGTCTGCGACCTGAGAAGTCTACGGGCCCGCCGGCAAGTGTGGGGGATCTTCGGAAGGGATGGAGGGTGAGGCGGGGAGGAGGCCCAGGTCGTGGTGGTGAGAAAGGAACAAGGGTGTGGCGCGCGTGGGCTGCGCGTGGAGGAGCGATGGCAATGCCGACACGGATGGGCAGCAACTTCACGCGAACGTTCGTGGTGCTTCGCAAAGTGCTCTCCTGGTCATTGACTTGGTCTTCTCTGTATAGTGGAATGCAACAGATAGCTGCGACTTTCTTCAACGTTGACATATAACTCAATGACCTTAAAATGTCTACGAACAAGACTACTCGAATCATCGCCAACATCCCTCAAGTCGAGTTCTATTGGAGTCATCTCGTGTTTGCTACCTTCTACGCCGACAACATCCTGCAGACTATGAACGTGTTTCTGCTCCTTCATTGACCGCAACTGAATGGAGTGCAATCATGTATCCACCCTGCAGATCGACTTGGCGGTTTAGCAACGAGAGTACTGGTGAGTACCTGATACATACCATTGCTCAAGCCATACAAGCATACACCCTGCCACTCTCCGACTCTCCTTTGAATGAGTACAAGCCTTCCCGCGCCATAGCAAGAAAGGGGGGCCCTAACTCTGGACTTGAAAGCTGAGGAGCTTGCTGTTGACGGACGTGCGGATGCAACCCGGTTGGCAAAACACATGGGCTGGGCGCTTGCGGTACCCCACTATGAACTGCTATCGTAGGTACTGTCTGTGAATGTGAAGGTAAGCATCGTCAGGAACCACTGTTCTATGTGAGACTGAAGCAGCTCCAGACTCACTCTTTCTGCCGCGCACAACGCGCGGTCGCCGCCGTCATGAGATGCTATGGGAAGTTGTCGCCCCGACTCCTCATCCAAGTTTTCGGCGTCCCGTAGAACCATAATCGCCCCATCACTTCTTGTGAACTGCTCGACTCGATGATGCATCGCCGGGAGAGTTGAGCCTTCAATGATGACCGCCGTATCGTGGAAATGCGAGTGCTGATCTATGTGACGGGCGGCAACGAAATCTGATAGCTTCGATTCGGAGAGTGCGTTGTCAAGAAAACTCTGCTCGAGCGCAACGATGACGAGGATGATGGTGGGATATATGCCTGTTATCTGCGGTATGATCCGGTCGAGATATCCGGTGCCGATGAAGAACTGTGAATAGACGCTAACCCGCAGTAGAGCTGAGGACCCGGACAATAGACTCATCACAAGGTAAGCGACCTGGAGTGAAGAAGTTTATGAGGATACAAAGAGTGATTAGGAATGACTTTGATGGCGTACCCAAATCAAGCAATACATACAACCGCTCTCTACTAGAAGGGCCATCACCTTCTCCGCAATGCTATGGCGGCGGAAGGCGGCTAGATGTGACAGAACATCCTTTCGGTAAAGCCATGTTCTCCATCCAACGACCAGTGTTGATTGCCAAGCTGAACGCCAGTATAATGATCCCATACGTCAGATCAATAAAGCTTGCAAGCTCGTCATTGCATGCTACCTCGTCACAAAAGAACGAGTGGGGATCTTCGGCAGCCTCTCTCGACAAGTTGACAATGTTGAGCGCGGCAGTGGGAAGCAATAATGACAGAGCCAGAACGACAGCGGCGCGGTGGTGCCGACAAAGTGCACACATGCGCCAGAGGACGATAGCATCGCTGGCGAAGACGTTTATAGAGACAAGAAAGAAAGATCCGAGGCGGGTGAACGGGCTTGTGGCTATAAAGCGACCTGGTACCGATACACTCAAGGGCTGGGTTATGCTTCCAGAGAAGATGATAATCTGGCCTGCACAATGAACCAACGAAGTCGTATACATACACAGCGCGACGATAAGCATCATCAAATGTGATCTGCTGCGCGACTTCTTGTGTGCGAAAGCCTGGATTGACAGCACAACAAGCGTGCAAAATATTCCTATGCCGGGCAGAAATCAATTCCAACGCGCAACTATCTGGCGCAAGGATCTTGACGTACCGAAGAGTACACATTCAGATATCACTGGACCATAAATTGAAGATGACGCTATCTCAGAGTATTGAAAGCATGGCGCGTGACTGATACAGACGGTGAAAGCCTGGTACACGAAGTGTCCTCCCTCGATCGCGTTGAAGAGCCAACCAAGGGTGAAGATCGTGAATACCACAGCTAAAGCGGATGCGCGCGCTAGACGACGCCTCACGCGTGCGTTGAAAGGTCTGAGCCCCGCTCGACTGCAGAAAATCACTCAGTTTTATCAAAGACAGGAAGAGCTGATCGACCTAACAATGTAGTATATATGATGATTCCAAGAACCGTCACAAGGATACCTTATACGTATTCAGTACTAGTATGGTACAGGAGGGAATTGGTGCGTACCAAACAGGATTGATTGTATCACAAGAGATGGAAGGAGGCGCACTGGATCTAAGGGTGAATGTATATCGATCTCAGTAACGGTACCCGAGTCTTCCCTCTCCACGACGGTAAACATGGTAGGATCAGACAAGGGTCACGAGAGGAGAGTCTGAACACTTATGTACCCACAGAAGAGAACCGGCAGGCGGAACGGTGCACAGCATAGGGGGGTAAAGTTATGTACCATCCGAGGAGAGGGTAACACAACTAACCGCAGATGAAACTGGTATCCACGTCGGCCGTCACGGGTGTGCTTCATTCCCTGAGATCGGAAAACGAAAACTGTTGTCTACGGCTCAATCCACCCTGTAGAATGTGCTCTGATCTGAGTATATCCACAACGTGCGACGCAAACGCCCGTTGGGGTACAAGCTGCATGGACACAGCGAAGCGGCAGGCACAGCCTCATGAGACTACATGCTCATATTTAGAAGGCCAACACTGAGTAGCTGAACGTCCCATGGAACAACGCGTACGTAGAAGAGTTGCGGTCTGCGTTCGCCCGTGTTCATCGCGTGTATGGATACGCGACTGCGTAGATCCTCTCCCCTTCCCTCTCGGGGCTCCAGCCGACATCACAATTTGCAGTCGAGTGCCAGTAACTAAGATGAACAGCGTTGGCCCGCTCGATTGGCGGGTCATTTGGATGTTTGGTTACTGGGATGGAACTTCCTGTCTCGCGTGACAATGTTGATAGAACAGGGGGTAATCAGTATATGTCGCATCCGCCTTCGACATTTTCAACGTCCTATTCGTCATGTCTTGGCTGGTGCGCGCTGCGTGTGTGCCCTGGCTATCAGGGTGACGGAAGAAGACAAGCCGCGCTGCAGCGTGTCTGCGCGCACCAACTTCACCAGGGCCGGGGCCAAAATTGAGAATGTGTACAGCCCCTCAGAGTAGTCTTCAATGGTCCTGTAGTGTAGTGGTTATCACAGCGGATTCTGACCAACGGAGATTTCCGCTAACCCAGGTTCGAGTCCTGGCAGGACCTTTCGATAGATATCGAGTGTGCCTGAGTTTTGGTCTGGCAGCTGTGCCTACAACTTGATTGACCCACGCAGAGAAGCACAGAGACCGTCTACACTACATTTTACTGCCGAGGCAGGTGACCACGAGTAGTCGGAATGCCTGTAGAGAGTATATAACGTGAGTGATGATGCGAGGAAGGCGCCTTCCAAATAGGGCGAAGGAGCGTCGGTGAGGCGCGTCGAGGCACGGGCCTGTGCACTTGCAGCGTTGCATCCACGGGCCAGCCTACACTTGAGCGTTCGAAACCCTAGGATGGCCTCCTCACCACTCTTCTGAGAGCTGCGATGACCCATGAGCTGGCCAAGGCAGACCAGATAGCGCACCGGTGCTACTCCAAGCTCTGCCTCCTGCTGCACGATGCCCGCTCCCTGTCCCCCGCGCCCGCCACAACGAACAAGACGGACAGATGGTTTAATCTCGAGACTCCCGACCTGGGCGCGACGTACAAGGAGAGCGTGGCGCCGTACCGCGCCCTGAGCTCTGGCACGCCACCGACGCCTGCGCCGTTCGAGCTGGAGGTACTGCTGTCCGTGCCCGAGCTGGCGCCGAACCAGGTACTCGTCCACCGGCAGCCCAACGGCGGGCCGCGCGTATCCGTCGAACCCACGCCTCGGCTCGTTCTATTGGAGACATGGACGCTCTCCTTTGGGAACTCGACGCATGCGAACAACGAAGGCGATTTGACGCCCGCAGGGATGTACAAGCACGGGATCGCCGTCTTTCGCGCCGTCTACGCCCTGTTGCGCGTATTGCCGGTATGGTCTCTGCGCCGGCGGCTGGCTAGGCGCGCGCAGGGCTTTGGGCTTATTCTGCGTGTGCGGAGTCCCGCCACAGGGA